ACATTTTCTGTAGAGATGGAGTCCCTCTGTGTTGCCCAGGCTGGTTTTGAACTCCAGGCCTCAAGTGATTCTCCCACCTCGCCTCCCAAAGCCCCAGGATCACAGGGGTAAGCTGCTGTGCCTGGCCAATTTTTATTTTTATTTGATTACTAGTTATTTATTTATTTTTGAGACAGAGTTTCTCTCTTTTCACCCAGGCTGGATCTCGGATCACTGCAACCTCCGTCTCCTGGGTTCAAGCAATTCTCCTGCCTCAACCTCCCGAGTAGCTGGGATTACAGGCACCCACCACCACACCCGGCTAAGTTTTGTATTTTTAGTAGAGACAGGGTTTCACCATGTTGGCCAGGCTGGTCTTGAACTAACCTCAGGTGATCCACCCGCCTCGGTCTCCCAAAGTGCTGGGATTATAAGTGTGAACCATGGCGCCCAGCCTATTTTTATTTTTATTTTAGGGATGGGGTCTTGCTCTGTTGCCCAGTCTGGAGAGCAGTGGTGCAGTCACAGTTCACTGAAGCCTTGAACTTTTGGGCTTAAGCAGTCCCTCTGCTTCATCCTCCCAAGTAGCTGGGACTGAAATAACTATTTAGATCTGAATTATGACTTAGGTTCGAACAACAGTAAGAGAGAAAAGGAGAACCTAAGGTAATACCTGGATGGCTCAAGTTTACATGTCTTTCCCTCCAAATACACAGATCACCAGGGAAGGGAGCAAGGGGGCAACCTGTTACCACTTCAGTTTGAAATTCATGGAAGCATAATGTTATAGAATATACATCTGAAAACATTTTGTTCCATGTATTTGAGTGTTTTTATTATCATAATCAATAGTCATTTGATTAAAGAAATAATCATTTGTTTGTAATTGAAATGAAACTTTTCATGTGACACCAAAGGCAGAGAAGCGATTGAAACTCTTCATTTGAAAAATAAAAGCATTGGTTTTCCCTTAGATATTGGATCAGAAAGGTACACTTTCAGCTTCACCATTCGGGATTCACCAGCACATTTTGTAAATGCAGCTTCCTGGGGCAATGAAGATTACATCAAGTCTCTTTCTGACAGCTTTAGGGTTGGTGACTGTGGTAAGTTGGCATTGATTCTTAAATTTTTTCCATTGTGTTATTCCTGTGGTATGTTTATGGTAACTACACTGAAGGAGTTGAAATGAGACACAGTTCATAATTCTCAAGAACTTTACCAGAAAAAGTCAAGTGTTAATAGTATAATGTAGTGGGGCGTGGTGGCTCATGCCTATAATCCCAATACTTTGGGAGGCCGAGGCGGGTGGATTGCATGAGTCTAGGAGTTCAAGACTAGCCTGAACAGTATGGCAAAACCCCATTTCTACAAAAAATACAAAAAATTAGCTGGGCGTGGTGGCGTGGGCCTGTAGTACCAGCTACTAAGGAGGCTGAGGTGGTAGGATGGCTTGAGCCTGGGAGGTGGAGGTTGCAGTGAGCCAGCATCATGCCTCTGCACTCCAGCCTGGGTCACAGAGTAAGACCCTGTCTCAAAAAAAAAAAAAAAAAAAAAAAAAACAAAAAAAACAAGACTGCAGTGCAAAGCATTCAGAATGTTACTTAAAGCATACAAACATGATCGTTATATTTTTACCAGGTAACCTTACTGTCTTTGGTTTATTACATATTTCAATTTGCATCAACCCATATTATTGTTATTATTGGTTATCTTTCTGTAGACATATAAAATGGCCACTGAATATATTTTGATAAAAGTTGACATTTGACCACTGAATAGATTTGATAAAAACTGATACTTGAATTTTTAATGGGATTTTAAGGAACTTTACTTTTAGTTGAAATACCAAATCTTTTACATCTTCTACTCACCCTAGTATCTCTTTGACAGAACAGCCTCGTATAGTAGAAAGAACAGGAGACTTTGAAAGCACAGAGGTCTAGATTCAAATCCCAGTTCCAACATTTACTTATATTATGGCTTTGAGAAAATTTCTTAATCTTGTTGGGTCTCAACTATGAACTAATAGTTCTTTAGGTTTTTGTGAATATTAAATGAGATAGTGTACGTAGTATAAAGTGTGGAACGTAGTCACTCAACAGATAACTTTTATGAGCCCTAGCCTCATAAAAGCAACAAGGAAGCATGTATACTAGCTCTCCTTCACGATAGAGAAAGAGAAAAGAGAATGCAGGTAATGAAAACACTCCTCTTTAATACTGTGGTCTCAAGCAGCCAACTCCCCGTATCAGTTGTTTAGAACCTAATTGTATATCGCTTTGTATTATTAACTTTCCGGACAGTGTATGGTATCTCTGTAGTTGAATAATAGGGTCAGTGAACGCATGGACTATGAAGGCAGAAAGCTTCACAAACTTCAGAGGGCCCAGTATAGTTATAGACGTCCCTTGAATAAATGCTGAAATATTAGTTACATATGGAGATAAATATTTCGATTTTGACATCTCAGTATCAAAATATGTTATATGTTGATGGTGGAGAAGAGGAATGAGGTGAGGAATTTTTAAAGCCTAGAGTCAGTGATGATTATACATTAAACAGGATGTTATTTAGAATTAGTGTGTTTATCTTGTTACTGTTTTGTAATATCATCATACTTTGCCCTCTGTTTTAGTGATAATTGAAAATCCCCTGATCCAAAGAAAGGAAATAGAAAGAGAAGAAAAATTCAGCCCTGCAACTCCTAGGTAAGCATCTGTCTAGCACAGAGATCAACCTCTGACACAGAGATTGTGCCAGAATGATCATTACTAATAATGTTCTGTCAGGTTAGCAGAGATCTTACTAAAAGTGTTCTGTTTCTATTTCAGTAAAAATGAGGAGTTTAATTTTCTCTTACAAAATTCATCTTTGATTATGACATAATTTACTTTGATACAGAGTCACATGAAAAATGGCTTTGGTTTAGTACTTTGATTCTCATTCTTAGATTTACTAAAATTTGACTTTGTCATGTTAAAACTGAGAAGAAAAGATAAACTTTGGAAATTACATCTATCTTTTCTCATATCAAGATATCCTTCTACTCACAGGCTTACCATCTTAGGGCAGATTCCTTCGAAGTGGAGCTTGAGAGGAGGACTCTTGTGGGAGTGGTTGGTTGAGGGTGAGCTCTCAGGGGAAGGCTAGGCGGGTAAGAAGGTGAGCAGAGAGGTGGGTTCACCTGGAGCCTCAGCAGGAGCCCAGGAGGGAGCTCTGGAGTGGCAGTGGCCCCTTAGAGTAGTGTCCTGGCTGTAGTGCTTCCACTCCCCAAACCCCCAGGGTGGGGCAGGGCATCAGCTCAAAGGCGGGTCTGGCAGTTCTGGAGAGAAGGGTGTGGCTGCACCCCTGTACCAGCCTGTAAAGGGCTCTCGGTGGGCACAGCAGTCTATGGCATTGACACATCAATTGTGACCCCTTTCCACCTTCTTTTCTGACCTCATCTTATGCCAGACTCTCAAACTTCGTTTCTGTGTAGCCACAGTAAATTTCTTTACATTTCATGAACACTGTGAACTCATTCTGCACTAATAACTTTTGTATTTCCTTTTTATTTTTATTTTTACTGAGACAGAGTCTCACTTTGTTGCCCAGGCTGGAGTACAGTGGCGCAATCTCGTCTCACTATAACCTCCACCTCCTGGGTTCAGACGATTCTCCCACCTCAGCCTCCCAAGTAGCTGTGATTACAGGCACATGCCACCACGCCCAGCTAATTTTTGTATTTTTAGTAGAGGCAGGGTTTCACATGTTGGCCAGGCTGGTGTCAAACTTCTGACCTCAAGTGATCCACCTGCCTCGGCCTCCCAAATTGCTGGGATTGCAGGCGTGAGCCACTGCGCCAGGCCAAACATTTGTATTTTCTATTCTCTCTCTGCATAGAACATTCTCCCATCTGTTTGATTATTTGCTTCTTTGGGTTATTGACTCACAGCTTAAATGTCATCTTCTTCAACCTTCCTCATCTACTCTGTTTGTGGTAGCGCTAATGGTCAATTACTGGGATTTTGCCCTGGTTTTTGTCACCATAACCCAAGTCACCGTCTGAGATTGTTTAATTCATTGTTCTTGGGTCTCCCCCTCACATATATGAACCTCATGAGATCAAAGGTCTTGTCTGCCTTCTTCACCACCTGTGTCCCTTGTGCCTAGCATGGGGTCTGGCATATAACAGATTCCCGGTATTCATGGAAGCGATGGATGGATGGTTAGATGGAGAGAACATTCTTGGTAGAGGGAAGAAACAGGAAACCTCCTGTCTTTTCCAGAACAGTTAATATTAGGTTGAGCCATATGAAACTGCTGATGTTTTACTATTTTTCATCTAGGAATATCAGTTTCATAACGTTAATAGTCTGATACCGCTGGAACGCAGGGCATGGGCAGGAGGAGAAGCTTAAGGTAGAAGCAGAGGTATTTCACAGACAGCTTTGCTTTCATACCAAATTATTGCCTTTGTGACTGGTATCCACAAGACAGTCTTTGAGCTGGGAAATAACATTTTCATATTTGTGATTTAGGAAGATCACTTTGCTTGTGGAGGATGGACTGTAGGGGAATGAAGGTTAGTTAGGAGAGCAAGGCAGTGGCGTGGGAGAGAAGTGATGAGGTAGGTAAGTGAGGCCGAGCAGTGGGGGGGAGGAGGGGCTGGGTTAGGGGGCTGCTGGGGCACAGAGTCCAAGGGCCGTCAGGGACTGGGTGCAGGAGGGACAGCTCCTCATTTCGGGCTTGCTGTGCCAGTGTTCTGCGTCTGCCCCATGCAGAGCTTAGCAGGGGTAGGAAAAACACAGTCCCTGACCTGAGGCACTAAGGCAGAACAGCCAAGTCCATGAGAGAGAAACAACCAGTCCTTAGGTTTGCATAACCCCTGAAAGTTTCAGAGTGCTTTTATGCTCCTGTTTTTTTGGAGGAGGAAATAAGCACAGAGTCTTGGGCAAGATCAGACAAATGGTATGCTTAGAACTCCAACACGAATCAATTCTCAAAACATTTCCTTAATGAAAGTGCACTGTAAACAAAAAATGTTTTGCCGTATTATTCAGTGTTTCTAAGAGTAAGAAGTATGTATTAGTATTGTCTAAATTTCAACCAAAAATGTAGTTTAAATGTGAACCTGGAAATATTTTTCTATCCAAAAATCACTTTCATATAACTTTCTTGTGTTTTTGCAATTTAGCAACTGTAAACTATTGCTCAGTGAGAATCACTCAACAGTTAAAGTTTGTTCCAGTTACGAAGTGGACACAAAGTTACTTTCTTTGATACATTTACCTGTTAAAGAGTCTCATGATTATTATTCATTGGGTGACATTGTTGCAAATGGACACAGTCTTAATGGGAGGATTATTAACGTGCTGGCAGCTGTGAAGTCGGTAAGTTAAAACCCCAACAAAGCCAAGTGCAATTTGTCAGGGGTGTTGCGGTCACTTGATTTGTGTTTGGGATGGAGTGGTCATGATCAGCTGGGGTAACTTGTCTTCTGTATCTTGGTAGTATGTTGAATTAAGAAAACAGTAACACTTCTCATTAAAGGGAAAGTAGCATTTTATCTGTGGATGAGTAGTAAAATAAAATTGTATTTCAATGGAAAATGCAGTGTTCCACTCTGCTCATAAATGATCTGCTAACTATAGGACAGCTTTTTATACTTTGCTTAAACAATGAAAATGAAAAGGGTAAGCTTATTGACTCGAAAATCTCCACGATCTTCCTTGAAGGGGCGTAGTTGAGTAAGTTAAGGGATTGGTTCTGTGCCTTTGTGCTCAGAGCTGCCCAGAAACCGGGGAGGGAGTGGGAATACACGTTGCCCTGCCATAGGGGCTCCGTGGTCTAATAGGTGGAGTGGGACTGTGCTGGTGAAGTGCAGGGGAGGATGGCACTCTGTGGGGCACCACAGGGGTGTTCCCTTCTGGTGCATCAGCATCTATCTGAATTATTGTAGCAAGTTCTGAGCTCTGTAGTTGGACAGACCAGAGCCATAAGGCAGAGATTGACATATAGACCTCAACGGTAAAGTTTCACAAAATAAAGTACATGAAAATTAGTCCAGGCACAGTGGCTCACACCTGTGATCCTAGCACTTTGGGAGACCAAGGCAGATGGATCACTTGAGCCCAGGAGTTCAAGACCAGCCTGGGCAACCTCCGTCTCTAAAAAAATACAGAAATTAGGTGGGTGTGATGGCATGTACCTGTATTCTCAGCTGCTTGGGAGGCTGAAGGGGGAAGATCACTTGAGCCTGGGAGGTTGAGGTTGCAGTGAGCCAAAATCATGCCACTGCACTCCAGCCTGGG